CAAATATAAACAAAGAATGGGAAATATTGTGGGAGTCTGCTACATACAGCCACAAGCCAGGCCAAACAACTCAACAGCCATCCTGCTATTATTTACTGATCACAACAGGACTCAACAGCACTCGTCTGGCAAACAGAAAAGAGGGCAGTACCCTTAAAACATACTGATTTACATGTGGGCTGAACTTTCGGCTAAGTCCCATTCAATTTAGAAGGGTCCACCTATACCGAAGTCAATTCAAGAAAGAGATCTAGAAGAAATGATGTAAAAGCTGTAGAGCACACAGCACTCGTGTCTGAAACTGCCCTTTTTACATGCTGCCATGTTAACCTACTGTACTATCATTTTTAGGAGAGTATTTAAGAGTACACAAAATATCAATATTAAAAAAATAAAAATGACAACAATACACAAAATACAGTATTAGATCTTCAGAACTGACTACCCAACAGCAGCCCAGGCCTAAGCAGCAAGTTCAGCAGGGCTCTGAGCCCCTAATTATTCTTACTGAGACCACAGAACCAGTGTCCCAAAAGAGGTGTCAGAAAAGCGCAGTAATGGAGAGAACATCACTGTTACCACATGCCAAGTTCTGCCTGGGAAAGAGGGCAGAGGTAATGCTCATTACTTGCATGCAACACTGTGGTTACGCAATGAGGCTCTTTCTAGACCCAGGCTGGTCTCTCCACTCATTGTTGCGTGCCCATACGAGCTCGGGGACCTCTGCTCATCCCTTCATTGTACTGTGTTGCTTAACACTTTGTGCTTTCTCAGGGCCACGGGGATGAGGGGAAAACAGAAAGACAAGAAATGCCACTTTTACTTGCAAACTGCAATGCTGTCCAAAGCAAAGCTGACTCAAAGTTCTTCCACAAGCCTGTGCAGAACTGAGTTTTGCCACTCGAAAGAGGAGAGCTCTGGGCTCCTTCACTCTGACCACAGGACGGCATTAAAAGGAAGAGGAGCTGGATGGTACAGGCAAGGGAGGGCCTTCCAGGTGCCCCACGTGCCACAGATGGGTTTGGCTGCATTAGAGGAAACTGGTGCTAGACACGGGCATCCTGTCAGGAGCACCTGCTGCGGGTAATGCTTCAGCTGCTTCCCTTAAGAGCAGCAGCAACCTTTAGCCCAGCTGTCTAAGATTCTGGCACAGGCCTAAAATCAAATTTGTTCCCAAACATACCTTTTTCCATATTGGGACAGATGCTTTTAAGGTATTGATGCAGTACGTTACAGCTTCAAGGGATTCTGTTCTGTGTGGAGACGAGACTGCAATAATTACACTTGCTTCAGTTATTGGAACCACACTAGGGAGAGAAGAGGAACAACAGCAGCTTTAGCTAATGCTTAACATCAAGAGCACCCAAAGTTGTGGCCATGTCACGTCAGTATTCTGGCCACACACTCTCCTGACTCATTCATACAGAGCAAGTGTCAAGCCACGTCCAAAAGATTGTACACTTCTTAGAAGAAAGAAAACCACAACCAAAATCAGTACCAGATGTGAGAATTCCACGCTTTAGAATAAATAAACCCACCAGACATAGGCTTTTTTTCTTCCATTCTTTTTTTTTAAATAAAGTCTATGGAATTAAGAGGGGAAAATTGCTAATTTGCAACAATGCATAGGAAACTTACTGGAAGCTGGCTTAACAATGAACAACAAGAAGTTAGGAACAGCCAGTTCTTATCTGAAAACCTAAGAAATCATCTCAGTTTGCACAAGAATTTGTGAAAGAAGAAATTAAGTGCCTCAAATTATGCAGATTTTGCAATGAAACAATTTTGGCAAATTCTGTTTTCAAATTATGAAGTTTTTCCTGTTTGGTGTGTTGTTTTCCAAACTTAACAGAAGTAGCACTAGGTTTTGTTTTGCTCCTCACAAGGGTAGTACTCCCAAAAGCTGCCTCCCAACTCTCCCCCTAGAGTAAGACTCCTCTGGAAAACAGCTCACAGGAAAAATCTAAGCTTAAATGCTTTGAGCTGCCCTCAAAAGAAGCACTCCCTCTATTGACTATAGAGAAAATCTAAGGAAACTACCCCTCAGAGATACCACCCTTCACGATCACCTCCTAAGTTCCTTCTGCCGAGAGAAAAGGAAACAAGCACTTGCAACAGACTCTGCAAATCCTGCTAGCTTCAGTGAGAAATGTGATGAACAGTGAAGGCTTAAGGGTATGTCAGACACTAGTATTCCATGTTTTGAACCCAACAGAAAATGCTTATCCAAGACTCAGGGAACAACAGGAGGTTCTCCAGCAAACACGGCTGGCAACTACCATGCCTCTCCTCTCCACACAGTCTAAGCTTTCAGGTTCCCTATGGCATAATTTGACTTAAATCTGACACAAGAACATTGTGTGGCGCCTCAGTGGGAGAGAGAAGAAAAAAAGGAAGTGCTGCCAACTTCACATCTTTAAAAAAAAGACAAAACAAACCAACAGCCTCCCCTTCCCTAGAATGAAATCTCAATACCTCCTCCCCACTTTCAAACCATCACACCAGCATCAAGGATCCCGCAGGCTAAATGTGGACTCCAGCAAACACTACCAATACACACATTTTTGAAAAGACCATTCCTGAAACTTAGCTCCACAGCGAGAGCTTGAACCTGCAGACAGCTTTGCCGCATTAGTTTATAAAGACTCCTGCACGTCCTATAACTATGTAAGCACAGCCACGCACCAGACAAGGATTAATATTCCACTTGCAGAAGGATGGGGTCTGGCCATACATACCCAAGTCTGTGATGCACTGCAATATGTTTGACTGATGGCCATTTCTGTCTAACATCTCTGCAGATTTTCTTTATTTCGGCCTGTGCCATTGAAGTATATGCTTCATATTCTAGGTGAATCACTTTTTTTCCTTCAAAATTATTTCTTGTAGTACCTAAACACAAATGATTTATCAACGAAAAGCACTGAGTAAATAAAAATATATATTATATATTTATTTCGTACTATCTATAAATACTGAGTAAAATCCAGGATCTCCTGCTATGGTCAAGGTCAGCACTGTGCAAATATAAAAGACTTCCCCTAATCATGGCTGTGTAAAGAGATTCTTTGAACAAGAGAAATTAATATGCAAGGAAGAATTTAGTTTACACATTATACAAATCTGCAGTATGCAATGCCCAAGGCTGGGACATCTTCTGTGGTAACTGCTAAGGTGCTATTATTGTATGTGCCCATGCAATGTTTAAGTGCTCAGTGTTCAGGAGCCCAGTAGCACCAAGGTTTAAGCATAAAGGGGTCTCAAGATCTGTACCATGTGCACTAAGCAACAGGACAGAGCTATCAGCCTACACCTTCACCAGCCCATGGGTAAAAACAATACTTTACATTCAACCACGATCTGAGTTGGAGGAGCATTCATACAGGTGTGGACCTGTGGTTTGCATAGCCACAACATCCCACTTCCCACCTTGAACAAGCTGTGTCCAAGGGGATGGGAGAATAGCTCCCAATCAGTCCTGTACTCCAGAGCTGCTGTTCTGTTCAGCCCTAGGATAGCCACACCAGCAGGGAAGCTTCTCACCACTTTGTCCCAGTGCAACTGTCTAAGAGCTGCCATGGACTTGTTCTAAATAACTCAGAACATGTTTCCTAAACATCCTGGGTTCACTCCAGGAATTTATTTGCTTGAGAAGCACAGGTTGGGGGTGTGGACAATCTCCATTCCACTTACTAGACTATTAACACACCCAGGGATCCAGCTCAGAAATATTAAACTCACCAACGAACAGAGACACTGCCCCACAGTATGGTGAAATGACCAGCTCTGACACTTCATCTACAGAGAGCTTTTCAGACTTGAGCTTGATAAAATCTTGTGGCATGTCTTCGCTTTCATCCATAGCTCACCAGAAAAGCTGAAACCAACAGACTCTGTTGTTGTTTTTGGCCATACTGGTCACTGGCCAACCATTTTTTTATCCTGTGCTGATGCCCCAATTTATGCAGAAAATATGCACCATCTACTTCCTCACCCCAAGAGACCAGTCTCCATGGCAAATTCACTTCTCAGCAGAATTGCTAAGAGAATATTAACTGCAAGTATCAAGCAATGACCTGGTTTTTAATACATACATGTTCCTTCCTGATAGGAAAGTCTGGTCCAGCAGGATGAAACCAGAACTAGTCTGAGGCCCCAGTTTAACAGTACAATCAACCGGCACGGACCACTGTGCTAGTAAATCTGTGGTAAGATTGTGAGCCCTTCCTCCCGACCTTATCCTGAACTCAAATACAGTTTAAGACAGAGATTTCTGATAAACACGGATTAGAGTTCTGACCCTAAAGTTTAATAGGCTCTCCAGAACATTCAGGACCTCATACAGATACAGTCTGTTTCAGTGACACAGGAGATGCTTCCAATTTCTCCGAGTAGAAACCAGTCATCAGTTCATCTAAGAATGAGGCGGAAAAGAAGTATTTTAAGCAGCAGCAATGGAACAAGCTGCAGTAAATACATGGACTGGCACTTGAAAGCATGCAAAGAAATGAAGCTATTCTAAGGACACCTGTTCCTTTGACAGCATCAAACAGCAAAAAAGTCAATTCTTTTTCTGTACCATCTTTTCTGTTAAAAAGTGGCAGGAGGTTTTTCATCATTATCTTATTTAGGCAAGCTGGGTATCTACTGGCAGCCAGAAACAACTACAAGAGAGTAACAAGACCTAAAACCCAAATTTAAAATAATGCCTGACCTCTCTGGCAATTTTCTTCCATTTACTGCATAAGTGTTAATCATTTATTGGCGCACCAGCTTATACTTTCTGGTCAGCACAATGGCTCCCTCCAGCAGGAAACACAAGTTATGCTCTCTCAAAAGAATCCTGGGGTGGAGGGAGAGAATTGCAATCACATCTCTGGACCTAAACAAAAAAAATTATTGGAACATTATATAGAATCCATGACACATGTTAGCACAGGATGACACTCCACAGGATACTAAGCAAGAAGTGATACCTACCTAACAGAACCTGGGCAGATTCAGCCTCCGCTAATTGGTGGGATGATGGCAACCTCGTCTCCAGGCTGCAGGACCAGGAGCTGATCTCCAAGAAGCACGTACTCCTGCCGAACAGCAAAAACCACTTGATCCCGGATGACAGCAAGCCTGAGGGGGATTGGCAGGAGCACAAACAGGTTTCTAAATGGACTGTTTGCATTTAACCATGAGATTTCATTCATCAACAAACTGGTGCACAGTCTAGGGCAGCTGAGGTAAATACCACCGAGACTTATGCAACTCTGCTTCCAATACACCTCCAAAAATAAAAGCAGCACCCACCTCCTAGTCTTGGATTTTCTTGTGGTGGCTAAGGAGAAACCAACTTAATATAATTTTCAGAAGTCAGGAACTGGATTTCTCATAGGCCTACATCAGAACGAACGAAGGTATACCAGATCCACTTCAGCAACTTCTAACAAAGTAGGTAACTCAAGAGATAGCAACCATCCCATCTGGGATTAGAAGGAAATAGTCCCCTCATTCAGTCTGGCTGAACTGGAGCAATTTTCTTAGACGGCAAGAAGCACTGTGGGATGCTGTTCATGAGATCTCATGAAGATTCAGTGGTCAAAGAGTTGCTCTTGTTGTATAACATCACAGTTGATTAGGCTTTGGGTCTTTTGTACTTACAGGTTTGAAATTTGCTATTGATAAGGAGTGGCAACAGAACTAAGAAGGCAGATACAGTGTGCTTTCTGGCAGACCTTCTACGTATTTTTTCATTTCACATCTGTGAGATGTTGCTGTGAGAGTCCACAGCTCTGGATACCATGAGGCAGGTAGTCAATTTCATGACTAAGTGTAATCACACAGTGAGTATGAGGGCAACACCAGTGAGACACCAGAAGAAGAATGCCAACATCTTACTTTAGAAGATGCAGACATGATAATTGTTACTGTTTGAGATTACAAAATCTGGCATAGACAGTAGAGAGCTATATTGCCTAGAAACAAGTAGGCACACCAAAAGGGTACAAGTAAAAATCACCTTCTTTCCTACCAGCCAGCCAGACAAAAGTAGGCAAGGCACAGGCTGAGTGAAACACAATAGCACTGACTTAGAGGGCAGACTGACCAGAGAAACTATATGAAAGTAAAGCAAGCCACTGAGGAACCGAGCGCAACTGTGGAACTGAAATGCCCATTAGAAGGATGGGCTCTACTTAACATCACTTGCAAGTTAATTCATTGGGGAAAATGGGTGGAACAGAAGACCATTGTCAAGTACACTCAAGCTGCAGCTTGGATATCCATTAGCAATGTGAATAGAAGTCATTGCCCTACAGTTATGTTGAGTTTTTCCAGAAAAGCTAGGAGCAGAAGCATTTTTCAAGAAGGCTGCTCTGAAGTAACTGCACATGCAAAATGTACTGCCTCAAGTCATCACTCATAAAAGGACAAAGTTGACAAACTATGGCAAACTGACCAAAGGTGCTGCTGCTGCTGCTTCTGACATCGACTAATACGTTGTGCAGTCAAATACACTTATTCCCTACTGCCCCCTCCCCCAGAACACACTTAGTCTCAATTCTCTGTGAGGAAAAGGCCCCTGGTCTAACATTTGGTTAGAGCTTCTCATTCGGAAATGGATGCCACTGCTAAATAGTTAATTTTTTTCATAGTCTTTGAGAGTTGATCTCATAAAGAAGGGTGGTACCTAAAGGGAAGACTTTGGCACCTAAGTCCAAAGTTATGGGAATTCCAGAGCATTCAGCACTAAATCCTGAGGACCTCAACACCTGTTACACCTTTTTTTTTTTTGCTACCCCCTCCAAAAAAGTGCTGCACCTTTGTCTGTCAGACTCATTCTTGACAGGACTGAGCACCCCTCAGCGTTAGCCTAAGGGGGGATATGTCTGCTGACACCCCCGAAGAGCACGAGCACCAGCACCGCAGGGGGATTTACAGTGCACACATAGGCGCTCTCTCAGGACCAGACTCCCTATGAAATGAAACCACGAGCTGTTTTCTTCTTTTCAAAGCAGAGGAGGTTGAAAGTGGCTGAGCCTACTTCCCATGAAAGGGTTGAGTGGCTGGAAGCCTGCGGCAGGGCATCAGCTCCCTTCCTGACCACTCTTCCAGAGTGTGCCATAAGCTCAGACCAACGGCTAACAGTACAGGTAAAGATAAGTGATGGAAAACACCTGCACATTGTCATGAATCGCTTGTTTATTGTCCTAGCTGTGCTTGATCCCTCCTTGAGACATCTCACCGTCTCCACAGGTGAGTAACACAGCTCAGTTTTCACGTGCAGCACCGTGGTCCTCCTGGACAATGGGCCACATGTCTTAAAGCACCCCTCAGGCCCAACTTCTGGGTACGTTTATTGGACCTAGCCTTTCCTACATACATAAAGCTACAGCATTGCCAGCCAGCCAAAACACAAAACACTTGCTGCAAGTTACAAGAAGGTAATGTCACTGGTTTTAGGGTATCAAAGTACTGATATGTGTTCCAGCTCAACTCTAAACACTGAGTTTGTATCTAGCAAAGAAACCCCCAGCCACTTTAAAGTCTGTGCACCTCAGCAGTTAATCGTCCCGAATACCTTGGGTGCACCTTGACGATCTCCTCCCAGAGCTGCAGAGAGGTGATCTGCCGCGGCACCGAGAGGGTCTCGCTGCGCAGCCCCGCCAGCTCCGCGCTCCGGGCGAAATACAGCACCGAGACCTGGGCGGGGAACAAACGCCGATCAGGGGAGCGGGGCCTACAGGAAAACAAACCGCTACTGCACGTTACCTTCGCCGAAAATACCAAAACAAACAACCGAAACCCAAACAGCGTGAGAAAAAGCTTTCCCTCGCTTTTTTT